TTCAAAAATGCCTTTTTTTTTTTTTAAACAAAAAAGGGCGTTAAACAAGCTCTTATTTGATTTATTTCATATAGTCAATTATTGTTTATATCATAATATATTTTAATGTGATAAATTTATATTAGTCAAAAACTTTGGTAGAAAAAAGGGTCCTTCATTAAATAATCAGTATATTTATACTGATTACTTAGTATTAGAAGGGTGATCACTACACTGGGACACAATGACTATAGGTTGTCTCATAATCCACTATCCCCACAATTTTCCATGAGTTGGTCATCCACTCTGTGAGTGACTTGTCAATTAAATTTGCTTTGTAAAAAAGTCAAGTTGAGCATTTAAATGCTATACTGAGTTTGAGGGTTAGGTTTATTCCACTACAGGACTTCTTGGTCATGATGGATTTATATATAAGTTGTGTTTAATCTAAAAGTCCCTCCGATGAGTACTATGAGTAAAAATGGGGTGATGAATGGGAAAAATGAGCATGGGCGATCGAGTTTTTCAGATATCTATAGAGCAAATAAATTTTGAAGTGAACATCTTTATTAAAACTATTTAAATTGAGTTGAACTAGTTATTTCGGTCTCAAAATTATTTTTATAATCTCACAATTTAAATGAATTAGTATCTATATATAAATTAACACTTTTATCGCTCAAACTCGAGGGGTAGAAAAAATGGAAATGATTGACTGTCCTACTACATCCCGTAAATTACGGACACAATTCTTGAAAACTCTAGCTGTAAAACTCTTTGCACCATATAAGAAAATAAACCACAACACATATTTACAACTTGCAATATTTGATTGACCGGTGGGAAGCAGATATCATATAATACATTGGTGGATAACAAATGTAATTCAAACGTTGAAGTCTACCATAAATTTATTCACTAATAAATTAATATATCATGTCACATATCCTTAACATAAAATGAACACATGTGCTCTTTAGATCATTTATGTATACATAAGTGTGTGTCTATGTTCCAATAAGAGTTACAAAATTACCATGATATAAATTTTTAAAATAAGTAATTCTTATCTAGATATCCTAACAAAATTAAACATTATTTATAGTTTTACAACCGTGTGAATATGATTACCCAAATGGGCCATATATTGTCCAACAAGAACATAACTAAAGAAAATGGGCTTTGTTTGTACAACTTTGAGGAGACACTTTAAGAGGAAATTAGGCCAAATACTCCAAAACTTCATCCAATTAGATTAATACCCTAAATTAATTAAACATCACATAAATCCCTTTATTAATTACGCCCTAAATAAAAAAAATCCCCAAAACTCCAAACTCTCCCAACTGAATGACCACAAACACCATTGTGCGCCACCCACCGATTCCGTGTCGAGGGGCCTCTTCTCCTTCAACAAAGGTTCAGAAAAGACTGAGTCTGAATGTAATTAACCAAAATTTGGAGAACAAATTCAAATGTTAGAGGTTTTGTAGCTGAGAAAGTGAGAGGAGGCTATTCAGTAGCCATTGCAGGTTATATTGATTTCAGTGTGATGGGGCACCACATGTGCATTATGTTAGCCACGTCACTAATTTTTTTAAGGATTTGAAACATATGTTATTTTAGTAAGTAACGCCCAACGTTTGGATAAATTTAGTTGTCAAAACTCGACATCTTAAACTTCAATTAGCAATCAAAGACATAGACATAGGTTTAGTGACCATTGAGACAACTAATTCCTTTTTTATTGCTTGTTATTTTTTTTTTAATCTCTATCATTTTTTTAAATGACAAATATAAATTTGATTGGTGTTTCGTCATTTTTTTAATAGCGTTTCTCATTAAGTTCTGTCACTTTTTTAAATGAAAACATTGCTTTTTAATAAAAGTTGCATTGTATGTCGCTTTTTATCAACTTTTAAAATTGAGATTGTATATCACTTTTAATTTTATACAATATTTTTTACTTTCAATACACTTTTCATATGATTTTTTAAAAGACCCATAAGTTTAGGGATATTTTTGTTAGTTGCCCAGGTTGGTGATAAACTAATTGTGTTGGCTCCATTTCATCTATTGCACTTTTCATAGTTTCTGTCATAGTTATGAAATGTGGCCTGGCCTCGATCAACTCATGGAACTGGCGTTGATACAACCTAGTTAAGAATCAGTCAAATTCGAGTAAGCCCTTGTTTGAGTCCCGTTTTGGGGAAAAATGTATCTTAAAATAGTATTTTTTTAGAGAATGTGTGGTCAAAAAATAATGTAAATTTTTTTAATTTACTTGTAAAATTATTTTATTGGAGAATGTACGGTTGAAATTGAGCTTTGGAAAACTGAATTTTTAATAAATGGCCTGATTAACCACTTATGTTTTGATCCCTTAAGCTTCAACTTTTAAATGTGATTAGTATACCACGAGAGCCAGCCACAAGTCCAAAGTAAAAACATGTCACTAGCTTTTTAATATCAAATAACTATTTTATAAATTTGTTATGTAGAAAAAAAAAAATACTTTTAGCTAATATGGTAATACACAAGAGGCTTCTAATTGGTAATTGATAAAACGATTGTACATAAGAAAAATGGGAACAAAATTATAAACAAATTTGGTAACAAATAAGTTACAATATTAACAATTTATGAACACGAAAATAATTGGTGACAAAATAATCATAAAACTTTAATTAATTTTGAAGCAATGACTTGTCGTTTGACCAGTGACTCTTCGGTTCAACCAATAATTCGTGATAGAGTTCCTTGGCCAGGTTAATACTCAAATCAGGTTTGATAGCTATGATTGCCAGTTGCCACTATTGTTCGCGTGTTTGGGTTGGTATAATTATCTCTCTCTCTCTCTCTCTCTCGGATATTGTTACCCATGTTCAATTAATCCTTCTTAGATATTAACAAAAAGATTGTAGTTAAACAAGTACTAATAAACACAACAGATAACAAAGTAATATTGTCAAATTAAAGTGCTTTAATTGTTGTTAAATTCAATTTCGGTGACCTAATTACAGTTGGGGCAAAAATTTGGTGACCACTATTGCAATTAACCCAAGTTCACGTGGAAGGCCGCATCAGTAGCAATTAGCTTTACAACAATGCTAAGTGTACCGGGTGGGGTTGACCGAACCCCAACCGGCACCTCACATTAGGGGGGTGGGTGGGATTTTTGGGCAATTTTTTATTACATGCAGGACCCACCCATGTGAGTTATATGTACAAATTTTGTCAACCCCAACCGGTACAAGTGGTTTAATTCTTAGCTTTAACGTACAGGCCATCAATTTATGTAACTTCGTCTAATCTTACATGAACGGAGTGACCTAATTAGTAATTACTATTAAATCAAAATTCATCGACCAAATTGCTGGCAATTGAAATTCAATGATCGAATTGAAGCATTTAATGATCACAACATAGTTAACTTCTTAATATTGCGTACCAAATATATCTGAAATTTTATTGAGGAGGAAGTAGGGAGTATAAATTAGCCAAAATATCATTGCACAAGCTTAGGATTGAATTCGGACTAGCACGAACACTCTTGAATCTTGAAGACGGCACACTAGCTTTTACATTTTTATTAATTTTGTTTAACTTTCAAACTTTAATCAAATTTTTATGGCACACTAGCACTAATGATCATAAGAAAATCTGTTTTCATTACATAGAAGCAAGAATCTCTACCAGATAAAACGCACTTCTTTTCTTTCGGTAGAGTAAACAGGACTCGACAAGATCCATCCCTCGACGGCAATATTTATCGCTTATATTAGATCACAATAACCATAAACAATAATATATTGCAGCTGGATGCGCTTCTTCAAGTGGAAAGTAATCCGGCGGAAGAATGAGACCACCTCAACTTGTTGAGACTGATCCTGGGCATAAATCCATTGTAGAACAATATCTGGGACGGGTCAGAACTGATTGAAGGGGAAACGACTGATATCAGCAGAATCCATGTTCCATATCTTTCCAGATGCTGTGACACTCACTCCAGTCGCATTGTTAAACAAGAAAACTCGTGCAGCTCCATTTATGGCCTTTGTTGGATATATTCGCGAAGTTATAACTGTTCTGCCTCCTTGAGCAAAGCTCTCCACGATGGAGTGATCAACCTGAATTTGTTTTGAGAATACGAATTTTCAAATTGAAATGCATAAAGTCAAGATGGGTTGTTGCCAGAAATTTTAACTTGTCCCGATGGCTAACCTTCAGGAGTATATTATGCAAAGGTAATTTGAGCCAAAAGTGAGAACTTGCAGCTATGTGAACGATGGTGATTTAAAACACAGATTTTTGAAATTTCAACTAAACTGGGAGTGCACAAGTATTCGGTTTCTCTACCAACATGCTTGATTGATACAGTTGCATAAACAAAAGAAGTGCAATGATAAACTAGAAATGAAGGAATCGATGAGGAAAATCCGAAAATACATTAGCTAATCACGTACCAATGATCTCAGTGAGTATTTTTCACCATCAATGACAGGGACTTGGCTCCCATACACTACTTTAGCAACATCAGGAGCCTCTGATGATCTGCATGGGAATACGTAGTTATAAAAGGGTGGTTCTAACAAGTTGACACAACTTGCTTATGAACACGACATTACAAGTTGCTTCTAAACCAAATTTCGTTCAGATCAAGTTTTCAGATGCTGATTATGAATGCGAAATAGCTACAAACGACTAAGGATGTGATGAAGGTGAGGTAACCAGTGGGGAAAAATATGCATCAACCTCGGAAAGTAACTTGTGTACTAAAGGAGGACTATATAGACTTGGACAATATGCTACAAATCATACCTCAATTCATCAGCACAAAAATGGGTTTCAACCTTTCCATTAGCCCCTTTGGTAACGTAGAAGTAGATAGGGGTTCCCTCTGATAGCATTTCATCAGCAAGAACGATAATGCCAAATGGTCCCAATTTCCCCCTATTAGCAGCACCACCACTTGTTGGGCAACTGTAACTAGCATCAACATTAGCTTCAACTGTTCCTTCGAATGCATCCTTATCAATTTCAAATGAGGCAACTATGTCCAACTGCATTAAACACAAAACAAATCCTATGTAATCATAATGGTTTCGAGTGAAAATTTTCCAATCATCCTTTACAGAGAAAAGTACAAAACCTGTGAAGGTGTGTCAACTCTAAGGGGAACAATGGATCCCGGTCCAAGCTTCACATTATCAAATTCGGCACTTTCTGATCTCAATTCTTCCACTTCGCCCACAGGCCATTGAATTATATTACTACCTGTCTTCTGGTCGAATACAATGGTTCTAGGAATCGACTGAAAGTAAGGGAATCTTAGTCATTTTCGTACCACAAACACAAACTTAACCAAAAATTTCGAATAAATCATGAATCAAACATGCATGTGTTAGAACTTTATTAAAAAACTTG